ACTGACACGTGTTGAAACAAGGGGAAGACTGACACGTGTACACACCAGGGCCATTACTGACATGTGTACACACCAGGGCCATTACTGACATGTGTAGACACCAAGGCCTTTCTGACATGTGTTGACACCAAGGCCATTACTGACACATGTGGAAACAAGGATAAGACTGACACGTGTATACACCAGGGCCATTACTGACATGTGTAGACACCAGGGCCATTACTGACATGTGTAGAAACCAAGGCCATTACTGACACATGTGGAAAGAAGGTGAAGACTGACACGTGTAGACACCAAGGCCATTACTGACACGTGTGGAAACAAGGTCAAGACTGACACGTGTAGACACCAAGGCCATTACTGACACATGTGGAAACAAGGCGAAGACTGACACGTGTACACACCAAGGCCATTACTGACATGTGTAGACACCAAGGCCATTACTGACATGTGTAGACACCAGGGCCATTACTGACACGTGTGGAAACAAGGTCAAGACTGACACGTGTAGACACCAAGGCCATTACTGACACATGTGGAAACAAGGCGAAGACTGACACGTGTACACACCAAGGCCATTACTGACATGTGTAGACACCAAGGCCATTACTGACACGTGTGGAAACAAGGGGAAGACTGACACGTGTACACACCAGGGCGATACTGACATGTGTACACACCAGGGCCATTACTGACATGTGTTGACACCAAGGCCATTACTGACACATGTGGAAACAAGGATAAAACTGACACGTGTATACACCAGGGCCATTACTGACATGTGTAGACACCAGGGCCATTACTGACATGTGTAGACACCAAGGCCATTACCGACACATGTGGAAACAAGGCCAAGACTGACACGTGTAGAAACCAAGGCCATTACTGACACATGTGGAAAGAAGGTCAAGACTGACACGTGTAGACACCAAGGCCATTACTGACAAGTGTGGAAACAAGGTCAAGACTGACACGTGTAGACACCAAGGCCATTACTGACACATGTGGATACAAGGTCAAGACTGACACGTGTACACACCAAGGCCATTACTGACATGTGTAGACACCAGGGCCATTACTGACACGTGTGGAAACAAGTTCAAGACTGACACGTGAAGACATCAAGGCCATTACTGACACATGTGGAAACAACGCGAAGACTGACACGTGTACACACCAAGGCCATTACTGACATGTGTAGACACCAAGGCCATTACTGACACGTGTGGAAACAAGGCGAAGACTGACACGTGTAGACACCAGGGCCATTACTGACACTTGTGGACACCAGCGCCATTACTGACACGTGTGGACACCAAGGGCATTACTGACACGTGTGGACACCAGGGCCATTACTGACACGTGTAGACACCAAGGCCAAGACTGACACATGTGAAAAGAAGGCGAAGACTGACATGTGTGGACACAAGGGCCATTACTGATATGTGTAGACACCAAGGCCAAGACTGACACATGTGAACACCAAGGCCAAGACTGACACGTGTGGACACCAAGGCCATTGCTGACATGTGTAGACACCAAGGCCATTACTGACACGTGTGGAAACAAGGCGAAGACTGACATGTGTACACACCAGGGCCATTACTGACATATGTAGACACCAGGGCCATTACTGACATGTGTACACACCAGGGCCATTACTGACATGTGTAGACACCAAGGCCATTACTGACACATGTGGAAACAAGCCCAAGACTGACACGTGTAGAAACCAAGGCCATTACCGACACATGTGGAAACAAGGCCAAGACTGACACGTGTAGAAACCAAGGCCATTACTGACGCATGTGGAAACAAGGCCAATACTGACACGTGTAGACACCAGGGCCATTACTGACACGTGTGGAAACAAGGCCAAGACTGACACGTGTAGACACCAGGGCCATTACTGACACGTGTAGACACCAGGGCCATTACTGACACGTGTGGAAACAAGGCCAAGACTGACATGTGTAGACACCAGGGCCATTACTGACACTTGTGGACACCAGGGCCATTACTGACACGTGTGGACACCAAGGCCAAGACTGACACGTGTAGAAACCAAGGCCATTACTGACGCATGTGGAGACAAGGCCAATACTGACACGTGTAGACACTAGGGGCATTACTGACACGTGTGGAAACAAGGACAAGACTGACATGTGTAGACACCAGGGCCATTACTGACATGTGTAGACACCAAGACCATTACTGACACATGTGGAAACAAGGCCAAGACTGACACGTGTAGAAACCAAGGCCATTACTGACACGTGTGGATACAAGGTCAAGACTGACACGTGTAGACACCAAGGCCATTACTGACATGTGTAGACACCAGAGCCATTACTGATATGTGTAGACACCAAGGCCATTACTGACACATGTGGAAACAAGGCGAAGACTGACATGTGTACACACCAAGGCCATTACTGACATGTGTAGACACCAAGGCCATTAGTGACATTTGTACACACCAGGGCCATTACTGACATGTGTAGACACCAAGGCCATTACTGACACATGTGGAAACAAGGCCAAGACTGACACGTGTAGAAACCAAGGCCATTACCGACACGTGTGGAAACAAGGCCAAGACTGACACGTGTAGACACCAAGGCCATTACTAACACGTGTGGACACCAAGGCCAAGACTGACACGTGTGGACACCAGGGCCGTTACTGACACTTGTGGAAACAAGGCCAAGACTGACAAGTGTACACACCATAGCCATTACTTACATGTGTAGACACCAAGGCCATTACTGACATGTGTAGACACCAAGGCCATTACTGACACATGTGGAAACAAGGCCAAGACTGACACGTGTAGAATCCAAGGCCATTACTGACAAATGTGGAAAGAAGGCCAAGACTGACACGTCTGGAAACAAGGCCAAGACTGACACGTGTGGACACCAAGGCCATTACTGACACGTGTGGACACCAAGGCCAAGACTGACACGTGTGGACACCAGGGCTGTTACTGACACGTGTGGACACCAGGGCCATTACTGACACGTGTAGACACCAAGGCCAAGACTGACACATGTGAAAACAAGGCGAATACTGACACCTGTACACACCAAGGCCATTACTGACATGTATAGACACCAAGGCCATTACTGACATGTGTAGACACCAAGGCCATTACTGACACGTGTGGAAACAAGGCCAAGATTGACACGTGTAGACACCAGGGCCAAGACTGACATGTCTGGAAACAAGGCCAAGACTAACACGTGTAGACACCAGGGCCATTACTGACACGTGTGGAAACAAGGCCAAGACTGACACGTGTACACACCAGGGCCATTACTGACATGTGTAGACACCAAGGCCATTACTGACACGTGTGGAAACAAGGCCAAGATTGACACGTGTAGACACCAGGGCCATTACTGACACATGTGGAAACAAGGCCAAGACTGACACGTGTAGATACCAAGGCCATTACTGACACGTGTGGAAACAAGGCCAAGACTGACACGTGTAGACGCCAGGGCCATTACTGACACGTGTGGACACCAAGGCCAAGACTGACACGGGTGGACACCAAGGCCGTTACTGACACGTGTGGACACCAGGGCCATTACTGACACATGTGAAAACCAGGCCAAAACTGACACGTGTGGACACCAAGGCCATTACTGACATGTGTAGACACAAGGCCATTACTGACACGTGTGGAAAGAAGGCCAAAACTGACACGTGTGGACACCAGGGCCAGTACTGACACTTGTGGAAACAAGGCCAAGACTGACAAGTGTACACACCATAGCCATTACTGACATGTGTAGACACCAAGGCCATTACTGACATGTGTAGACACCAAGGCCATTACTGTCACATGTGGAAACAAGGCCAAGACTGACACGTGTACACACCAGGGCCATTACTGACACTTGTGGAAACAAGGACAAGACTGACACGTGTAGAAACCAAGGCCATTACTGACACATGTGGAAACAAGGCCAAGACTGACATGTGTAGAAACCAAGGCCATTACTGACACATGTGGAAACAAGGCCAAGACTGACACGTGTAGACACCAAGGCCATTACTGACACATGTGGAAACAAGGCCAAGACTGACACGTGTAGACACCAGGGCCATTACTGACACATGTAGACACCAAGGCCATTACTGACACGTGTGGAAACAAGGCCAAGACTGACACGTGTAGACACCAGGGCCATTACTGACACGTGTGGAAACAAGGCCAAGACTGACATGTGTAGACACCAAGGCCATTACTGACACGTGTGGAAACAAGGCCAAGACTGACACGTGTAGACACCAATGCCATTACTGACAGATGTGGAAACCAGGGCCAAGACTGACACGTGTAGACACCAGGGCCATTACTGACACATGTGGACACCAAGGCCAAGACTGACACGTGTGGACACCAAGGCCGTTACTGACACGTGTGGACACCAGGGCCATTACTGACACGTGTAGACACCAAGGCCAAGACTGACACATGTGGAAACAAGGCCATTGCTGACACGTGTGTGATCAACAATGACATAAACTGATACATGTATGTCCATCAAGACATACCAGCATTTTTCAATTGTAGACCTAAAATTGTGCATATGAGCACAAATGAAGGACCCTAATTAAAATCCTTAGGTGTCTGTGTTTGTGTGTATTTATGTTTCTTTTTCTGTTTTCTGAACCAATCAGCGCTGCTGTTACAGACACGTGAGAAACGTGATTGGGATACATGATTGTCACTTGGCAAAACAAAACAGCAATGTTATGCATGACTTAAATATCATGTCAAAATGACATAAAATTCCTACCGTATCCTTGGTTCCCAGCTACCTAAGAGGTGACTTCATGGATCGGGGGGATCATGTGGCTATATAAAAGATATGTAGTGATATGTGCATGCTTCCTTTCAGTGCCAGTTCGCATGTGTTCCTTCAGTTGTTTCTACCTGAGAACTATGTTCAACATAGTCAAGTGTATACATGCTGTCACTGCAGGTCCTCCTTCCAGTGGCAAGACTAGTCTAGCTGCAACTATTGCCAAGAGATCAGATTTACCCTTTGTGAAACTATGCACCCCAGAGAACATGATTGGGTATACAGAAACTGCAAAATGCCAGGCGATCAAGAGGGTGAGTGATAGTGTGATAATGCATAGTGTCACAGAAGTGTGTCTGTGTAGGTTGCCATTAACATACACTTCACTGTACATGACTGCACTAGTCTGGCACGAACGTTTGCATCTGTATTAACAATAGCTTGAATAGGTATTCATGAGCTGTGTAAGGAGAGATAAGGCAACATGCTTGAGGTAATCCCCCATAATTACATAAATATGAGGGAATCTGTTCGTTGTAACAATATTTAGAATAACATTGACTACAGACAACTGACACTTTATTAAACAGTTGCATGTGGACAGATGGATTGGTATTTTGATCATGTATAAATGACAGGAATGTTTTCTTTGTATGCACCAGTATGTGAAGTAAGAGATCTGTCTGAAGGTGGCACTTTCTGGTTGACGAGCTACTCGTCCGAAGGCATTGTGTGGGGCTGGATCATTGCTTGCTCTCAGTCCTCAATCATCACAGTATAATGTCATTGATGTCATAGCACATGGCATGTGGATTATATTTCTATCAAAATCTACTTGCAATGAAAGCAGTATTTCATTTGGAGAGTATCAGACATTATGCAGCCTTGTGTTGCTGAATGTGTTATGAACTGATGTTTTTCTGGTGTTTGCCTGCTGATAGTGTGACTTGTGTTGTAGATATTCGATGATGCATACAAGTCCCCCCTCAGCTGCATCCTCATTGATGATATAGAAAGGCTGCTGGGTAAGTTTCCTGTCATTTGGGTCGCACTGTCCATCCAGGGCTATCTTATTCATTTATTGGACAACATTTCATGGATTATTGACTTGAGTATAGTCTTTGAAAACATTTACTGAATTAAGTGAATTTTAAGGCATTGTTTGTTTGAGGGATGCATAAAACCCCATGTACCCCAAGTGATCCTGCTACAACGAATTTATCTTCCGGACATGTTTTAATATGACATTGTAAAAGAATTCAAACTAATTCAAAATTGATAGAAAACAGCTGTTCGATTGAGCTGAGGTTAGCTTGTGCTGTGTCATGTGACTTCCACTGAATTGAAAAAAGCGTGCAGCTTTTTGCTTTGAAGTGGTGTGTAAGGGATTTATTCTGTCTCTTAGAAATTCACATGCAGCCTGATTTACTCATTAAAGAGGTATAAGAGATTTATTCCCCGCTGAGAAATTTATTCCCCTCCAAATCAGGTTACACAGTATTTTATCAAGATCATGTGGACCAATATCAGATCTCAAGTTCTATCATTGGATAAGCTTTTACTGAATCACAGGTAGATTCCAAGAAAACATGTGTATAGCTGATTGCTGTTTTCATCTTAGTTTACGAGAAAATACACAAAGTAAACTTAATCCTTGGATGTAAAACAATCCCTAGCAGAACAAAAATAATATTTAAATGGTAAATCAACATGTCTTATGTTTTTTTATCTCAAATTTGTACTGACCAAGTTTCTTATCACCCGTTCGTTTACTGGAATTTCCTGAAGGGGTACGGGTGTAATTTTTTTCTCCAAAATACTGAATCCACTAGAGGGAGATGCGCATTATACTTAGGTGCGCACTATACAAAAAAAATATATGGTAACTTTGACATTAATCTATCCAATCTTGATATGCATAATGTGTAAGATTGGGTGAAGATCTGATTAGATTATTTAACAGGGATTTACCTGACCTGTCTGCTATTCCTGCTGACTCAGGAATAATGTTGTGTCCCAGACACATAAGTGGTGACCGTGAGCTAACCAATGTGACTTGTTTGTTTTTTACAGGCTACATATTATTGTGCTCATTATAAAAGGGGATTTTCTTTTAATTGACACTGTGTAACTGCACATATACTGGATTGTTGCCTGGCTACTCTTTGCGAGTTGAAATCTGCCATGTGTTTGTGCCAAGTACAGGTGTTCACCGCATTCATAAGTTTCTGCATAACATTTGTCTTCTGTCTTTTTAAGTCTTTTACCATGTGTGGCATACAGCTTATGGTCATTTACAGATTACGTGCCAATTGGTCCACGTTTCTCCAACTTGGTTTTGCAAGCCCTTCTTGTTCTACTGAAGAAATCCCCACCTCAGGTACGTGAACACTTGATCAGCATAAGCTAACCCTGATTCATTGCAATAGAATTCCTAATGGCAGATCTAACTGGATGTGTTCTCATTGATTCCTGAAGATTGTCCTCAATGGGTTCAGTTGTTTTCCTGTTCCTTCATGACAGTGTATTTGCAGGGTCGCAAATTGCTGGTGATCGGCACGACAAGTCGCAAGGATGTCCTGGATGACATGGAGATGCTGAATGTCTTCAGTACAGTGATTCATGTGTCCAACATATCCATGAGTGAACACCTAGTGGCAGTTCTGGACAGCATGGATGTGTTCAGCAAGAAGGAGATGGAACTGGTAGAGAGGAGGACAGCTGGCAAGAGGTAGTTACTGAGTGAAAACCTCTTGCTTTGATCATGTTCACAGTAACATATTGTCACATATATAGGTATTGCCATTTGGTGGTTTGGTGGCAGCACAGGAGTTACCTCCCTTACATCAATATTTGCCATGACAAGCTAAGATCATGATGCACAAAATTCTAGTTTGATACTGTCCTCCCATGTAGCTTAGAATAAATATAGGTCCTAATTCATTCTTCTTCTTCTTTTTTTAGATTATTTATTGGCATCAAGAAACTATTGATCATCATAGAGATGTCAAGACAGGTGAGTGAAGCGCATATAAACATGGCAAAGAGGTTCAAAGTTACAAGCCGCCAAACCTAAATTAGGACAGCTACAATGTAATTGTACACACATTAAGCAGTATTACAGCTGCAGTAGGATGATACAGTGCCTATATGTGGTACAAGTTGCTACAAATGCTGCTGAACTGCTTGTGTTTCAGATGGATGAGTCTCTGCGTGCGGACAAGTTGGTTGATATCCTGGAGGATGAAGGAGCACTAGAGAGATGAGGACAGCCTGGTCATGCTGGCTCTTAGAAACCTTATTTATTCACTTGCTACTTGATGTACCTGACATTGTTGTTGTGTTGTTGTCACTTGTTGGTGTATGTTGGGTACATTCCAGCAGCTGTACTCTGGTACAGGCTACACCAGTCCAGGGTGTGACACAGTGTCACCCACTGGGCACAAACTCTACCAGTTCTGTGTTTCAACAGTGTTAAAAGTGCAGCAGTTTAGGACATAGTTATGCATAGTGACAGACAGCTGGGTAGCAAAGACAGTGATCCTGGAATAATCAATGTTAGCACACTTTCATTATGTAAGATGTATTTACTATGGTAAGCACTTTATTGTCTTGCAATTGCCTGCAACTTGTGTAAATACTGATGTTAATTGTATACAGTTTTCTCAATGTGATTCTTGAAATATTGAATGTCCAGTATTAATTTCCTGTTCTTTGTGCCACATTCACACTCATTATCAAAAGTTGTTGTTTTTAATGTACAATTACAATTCAGAAAGAGAACAAATGCTATTTTTGATCCAAAACAATATTCATCTTTTGAGATTTATGTACAAGTTATCTTTCAATATCATTTGATGTGTAAGGGCAAATTACTGTAAGTTGTCAGTGTTAGTGATTTATATAAATAACTGCTTCATACATAAAATTACTCCTACGCGCAGATATATGGAAACAAATGTGCAATACATTATCTGCTGATTGAGCTGAAATTACTGTGTACAACATATCTTTAGTCTCATTCATGACCACTCAGACATCATCTTCATGTCAATATTTCCTTGTGGCCCTCAGGCTCGTTGACTTGGTTGATGCATGACATCGATCACAATTGCACGGATCGATGCTCATGATATCAATCACTGGATTGTCTGGTCCAGAAACGATTATTTACAGACGGCCGTCATATAGCTGGAATATTGCTGAGTGCGTCATTAAACAACAAACAAACAAACAAAACCTTGTGGGCCAAAACAGAAACTTGTGTTTATTATGAAAATATGATGTTATTAATAAGGTATGCTTAAAGGAATAAATACACAAATGTTTGAACACTATTGATACATGTTGTAGTTGATTCTCAAAATTCTATTTAAATTAATTGTGAAACGTTTGAAGCAATAAGCTCTGTGCAGATATTCGGTGAAGGTAATCAAATCATGCCTGATACTATATTACCAAGACCTTTAGGAGGCTCCTGTTGTTTGAACACTAAGGAAAGATAAAATAGTACAGATGATACTTTAGACACTCTATTTATGTGGTTTATTAAAAATCTTTAAATTTCATTCAGTTTCACAATAGTGTGAGACATGTTGATATTCTATTTGTTTTTATCAGCAGGACAACTCAAATTAGTAAATTTTATACAAATGCTTATATTTATATCCTTGGAATTGACACTTTACACTGAAAAAATCTTTTTAGGGCTCTCATCAAAGAAAACATTTGGGTCCTAGTATTTATTCAAACCTCATCATCTGGTAGCACTAAAGAAAGGAATATTTCTTGGGGACTTGCTGCAAATCATAAATTCAGGTTATATGTTTACAAATTATGCACTTGCATAAACCATGAAGAACGCCTATAAAATTACAGCTGCAAAACCAGATATTTGAATAAGAATGTTTGGCGACAATTTATTTTTTTCGATAAAATCCCAGACCCCCTCTCCCTGAATATCCAATGGTTGGTCCCCTATACTTTGCAGATAAATAAAGATTTGTTTTTTCTGATAAAATTATTTCTCCAATGATTAAATCAGAAAAGAAAAATCTAGAAGTTTGAGTGTCAGTATTTAAGACCGGTACTGGAGCATGTAAGTGGATCCTGGGCATGGTACTGGATCAGGTCAGAATGCAATTTGCTGTACATGTATTGCTCTTTTTAAGTGTCCAAGTTGCACTTTTAACTGAACTGTTCCATATACACATGGTGAGAAATAAATTGAACCACATCAGCTTTGACTTCTATGAACTGCAGTCAGTGTTACAGAATGTCAGGTGGACCATCTGTTCAGATGAAACCTCAACCTTTCTTGTCTGGTAAGTGCAATTGGCTATAGTTACAGGTTAGTTTGTACAATTAGAGAAGTGATCACAGGAATGTGAGAAAGTGTGTTTTTAATCATTGAGGAGCTCACAATTGAATTTTAGTTTTTTGTATGTGCTGTATACATGTTTTATATAATGCAAGCATATTATAAGTTAAAAGTATTGTGTACTGCATAAATGTGACTGATTTGATCAGTACCCATTTTCTATACAGAACCTTCACTTTTATCCAACTTTGTATCAAGTAAACTGCTCTTCACCTGCCAAGTGTGGGAGTCTGTAGTTGTGAATACCCCATGTCAGCCCTTCTGATGGCTGTTGACCTGGAGTTGTCTGGTGCACTGTGTCAGCCCCTCTGACAGCTGTTAACCTGGAGTTGTCTAATGCACTGTGTCAGTCCCTCTGACAGCTGTTAACCTGGAGTTGTCTAATGCACTGTGTCAGCCCCTCGGACAGCTGTTGACCTGGAGTTGTCTAATGCACTGTGTCAGTCCCTCTGACAGCTGTTAACCTGGAGTTGTCTAATGCACTGTGTCAGCCCCTCCCACGGCTGTTGACCTGGAGTTGTCTAATGCACTGTGTCAGCCCCTCCCACGGCTGTTGACCTGGAGTTGTCTAGTGCACTGTGTCAGCCCCTCCCACGGCTGTTGACCTGGAGTTGTCTAGTGCACTGTGTCAGCCCCTCCCACGGCTGTTGACCTGGAGTTGTCTAATGCACTGTGTCAGCCCCTCCGACGGCTGTTGACCTGGAGTTGTCTAATGCACTGTGTCAGCCCCTCCCACGGCTGTTGACCTGGAGTTGTCTAATGCACTGTGTCAGCCCCTCCGACGGCTGTTGACCTGGAGTTGTCTAATGCACTGTGTCAGCCCCTCCGACGGCTGTTAACCTGGAGTTGTCTAATGCACTGTGTCAGCCCCTCCCACGGCTGTTGACCTGGAGTTGTCTAATGCACTGTGTCAGCCCCTCTGATGGCTGTTGACCTGGAGTTGTCTGGTGCACTGTGTCAGCCCCTCTGACAGCTGTTAACCTGGAGTTGTCTAATGCACTGTGTCAGCCCCTCCCACGGCTGTTGACCTGGAGTTGTCTAATGCACTGTGTCAGCCCCTCCGACGGCTGTTGACCTGGAGTTGTCTAATGCACTGTGTCAGCCCCTCCCACGGCTGTTGACCTGGAGTTGTCTAATGCACTGTGTCAGCCCCTCTGACAGCTGTTAACCTGGAGTTGTCTAATGCACTGTGTCAGCCCCTCCCACGGCTGTTGACCTGGAGTTGTCTAATGCACTGTGTCAGCCCCTCTGACAGCTGTTGACCTGGAGTTGTCTGGTGCACTGTGTCAGCCCCTCGGACAGCTATTGACCTGGAGTTGTCTAGTGTCACTGTGTCAGCCCCCTGCAGGTGCCTATGCGCTATGTCTAGAGGCTGCTGAATGGTTCAGTCCCAGGTGTCATGCCTCTAGCTGCCCATTTATCCTACACAGCATAAGATGTATGACCATTGGCAGAATCATTCCAAACAGTAGACTCAACAATGTATTAATTATTCTATTTGGTAGAGCTAGATGATGTGCTACAGTGTTGTTGGTAGTTAAGGTTAGAATTACTAATTTACGTCTTATCTTTGATTACTTTTGACTTTTATCTCCAGTCTGTAAAGAATTAAACGCAATAAAATAATGAGTTCCATAGAAAGTGCAAGCCATTTTGTTGTATTTACCATATGAACCAAAAGGTGGAGGAATGAGATGTGGTGTACCATGACAAGCAACATCATGCAGCTGTTTACTTTACAAGATCAGAGTGTCTTGTTCAAATGTCCACTTTGGTCAGTTAGCCTGTTGAAGTAAACAATGTATTACATGTCATACATAGTTGGTCATTGCTCTTGTAAATGTGTGTTCTGGTGAGTTATCCATGGTCGGATGGTGTTAACAATGATATTTGAATCTGCTCTGAAACCACAGGGCCTATGAACCTAAAACTTGCACAGATGACCCAACATTTGTGTCTCTACAACTTGCTCACTTGCCACAAGTACATTGAAATATCATTTTTGCTCATTTCTGAATGTACCCTTGTGACATGCAGTAAGTGTGCCTTACTGCTGTTTACAATGTGCTTGGTTTTGTTTTTTATTTTATGTACTGTGAGCTAATTCTAATCCTGATGTAGGTATCATTCCATTTAACCCCAGACATGTTCTATGGGGGGAGAGGTCAGGAGAAACAGCTGGCCATGACAGTACAGCAATGATATGATGCCTCAATTGAGTGAGTGAGTATGGTTTTACACTGCTTTAAGGAATATTCCAGCAATGTCATGGTGGGGGACGCAAAGTTCACACATTGTACCCATGTTAGGAATCAAACATGGGCCTTTGCCATGACAAGCGAACGCTTTAACTGCTAGGCCACCCCACCACCCCCATAATGCCACAAAAAGTTTTCACAAGATGTGCAACATGAGGGCGGGCATTATTCTGCGGTTAGTCCCTGTATTTGCTCAAAGGGTAATGTGATCTCGAACAATGTCGTCCCGGTAGTGTACGCCATTCACATTGCCATTTAATGAATTGTTCTCAAATTAGTTATGCCACCCCATACCATCACACTTCCACCCCAAAACTGATGAAGTTGAGTAACCCAAACAACAATCTCATTAAAATCAGATCTTAGTTCTCGCTACCGCTAAACTTTGTTTAGCAGTAGCGAGAACTAAGGTCTGATTTTAATGAGATTGCCCAAACATTATTTAAATATTCTCCCGCTCACAGTTGTACAGATGAAACCTGGACTGTGAGCAGTACCCTATCCCAGTCTTTTCTTCTGAAACTCTGTGTACACCAAGCTAGACCTGCCTGAAGGTGACGTGGAAGCAAAATTGGTTGTGTCGCTGGATGTGGGCCCCGATGTGTGCCCTTAACCGGTTGCGTACGTTGTGCCACTAATTGGCCTAAACCCAGGAATTGTCTGAGCTGTTAATGTGGCAGTTAGGTTATCGATTACGTAGATGCATCAACCGAATATTGTTGTCTTATTGGCGTGACGTCACACGGGGACGAACGGCAGTGGCGAGTAAACGAATGCTGCCCTGCTGTCGATAACGTTTCCATGATATTGTGTTTTTGATTGGCAACTTTTTGCGGCATTTGCAGCATACACATGGCGAGTAGACCTTGATTTTCAGCAAGCTGTGGGATTGTGTGCTTTTCACACTAAAAACCAAGTGTGTAACCAAGTGTGTAACCAAGTGTGTACATGTGAGTATCATGCTCTGAACAAACACGCACACATCCAAATTGTGCGCTGTGTGTGAGTTTGCTGCAAATTGTGATTAAAGACCTAAAGTCCTGGAAATGTATTCATGAATACATATTGAAAGATATATTGAACAACAAAAGTTCCTGTGACATTGAATAAGATTTAATGCAAAGTTATGTCTTTTACCAAATCTGAAACAATTTCCGTTTGCAACAGATAAAAGACTCATGTAAGTGTTCAAATGGTTTAATTTGCCATACTGACTTCAGAAAATGCGGGATTTCATAAAAAAAAACCACATGAAAATGCCAAAATGTCAATTTACAAATCAATAGTGTGTGTGTCCACCTCTGGTAGCGATGCAAGCAACACATCTTCGTCTCATGGAATGGACCAGGTGTTGCACAAGGTCCTGTGTGATATCTGTTCATATCTGCTGGAGCATGTTTCGAAGCATACGCCGATCTATCTCATCCCACATGTGCTCGATTGGTGAGAGATCAGGGGAGCGAGCTGGCCAGGGGATGACATTCACGTTGTTTTGTTGAAGAGAATCCTGAACAAGTCAAGCAATATGAGGCCGGGCGTTGTCATGTTGAAAGGTAAAGCCTGGGCCATGACTAAGCAAAAACGGAAGGACAACAGGGCTGATGATCTCGTCTCGGTAGCGCTGTCCATTGAGATTTCCCTCTACCACTATCAAACGGGTCCTCTCTCTTGCTGTAATCCCACCCCATACCATAACGCTGCCGCCCCTGAACCAATCTTCTTCCATGACACAATGATTGACGTAACGTACACCTCGACGTCGGTACACTCGAATCCGTCCATCGCTGTGGCTGAGGTGAAAACGAGACTCGACAGTGAATAGAACTTGTCCCCACTGCATGGCCGTCCAGCGTAGACGCTGTCTGCACCACTGTAGAAGTGCTTGACGGAGGTTTCCTGTCAAAATGTGACGTCTGGCGGGTCTTCTGGCGACAATCCCTGCACATCTGAGGCGACAACGTATGGATTGTGAAGATATTCGTCGAAGGCCAGGGATGCTTCTTGCAGTCACTGCTGCTGGCTGGAATCGATTTCGTAGGTGTGTTGTTCAAATCCAGTTGTCTTGTCGATTATTGGTTACGCGTGGCCTGCCACTCCGAGGATGGTCTTTGACTGCATTCGTCTGTTGCCAACGTTGCCATAAAGACCAAATGGTGTTTCTGTTGACCTTAACTTGTCTTGCAACATCACGTTGACTCGATCCTGCTTCCCGCAGACCGCAGACACTCAATTTGGGACAGGCATGGCATTGCGTAATGTTGAATAATAGCGTAATTTTGTTGTTTTTCTGAGTGGTTGTTGTCAACATGATGCTAAACAATGCATATGGCATCCCGTTAACGCACATGTTTTCATACCCATTCTTTGGTAGTGAAATGTATGGGGCATGCATAAAAGTCAACTTTTGCATGGAATGCATGCTTTTCTGTAGCAGTTGCGTTTTTGTGACTTGATTCCATACATGTACTACAATATTGAAAACCAATCTTTACTTGTTTGAAAAAAAAATATTGTAAAATATTGGTGTCACGGGAACTTTTGTTGTTGAGTATATATTCATTTTCAGAAAAATGTATTTTTAAGAACTTTATATGTTGCACACTACACCGTTTCGTTAGTATATATATATATATATGACGCCATTGCTGACATTGATTTTGTCACATTTCCCAGGTTCACTCAATATAATCTTTGGTCACGACTGGGCTTTTCGCTCACACTCAAGATTTGATATTTTATACCGCCATCCCGCTGGTCCTACAGCGTCGTGACCTTCAACTTGCGCTTACAACACGATAATGTATAACAACGAAGCAAAGTAATTAATCCATGAACCGCCTACGTGGTCTAAATAATAGAGCGTCTTCCCGTAGAACAGATGGTCGGTTGTTCGATCCACTCGCCGCGTCATACCAAATGTCATTTAAAGATGGTACTGTTACCCTGCCTGGCGCTCAGCATTAAAGGGGCACTGATCTAAAGCAATTCTCCGGGACTGGTGGTTGCATTTGTTATTGTTTTTCTTCCGTGAGTACCCGGATGATATAGCAGAAACCTAGACTAGTTCGCGACCTGTGCTGCGCAATTCGTAAGCGGATTTGTCACTTTCATTGATAGTTTTAGGGCGTATGGTCACATTGATCAACAAAATCAAATACAGTTTTGGAAATAATAAGGAAATGTAGGTATCTTTATGGGTAGCATCGGTAATGGTGACGAAGTTTTGATATGTCACTTGCTTGGAATTGTGCGATTTTCGTTTACACTATTTTGACTTGCAACACAAATTAACAAAAAGGTAAATATTTCTCCTGAGCATTGCTTATTTTATCGTGTTTATATTTTTACAGTCAAAATGTGCAAAATTTTCACTTAGGAAATTTATTAAACGCCTGAATATTCAGTTATTTTACAAATTGACTGAAAACTTTGTCCATCTGTATTATTATGACAACGAATTCCAAACATTTTTATGTTGAATATAATCAACAAGAGACTGAAAATGTTACGATGAAAAGTACATATCTCTATATTGTTTGGCTTCTAATCCTACATAATAATCTGTTGTGATGTTTTTAGGCCCTTTTGATCGTCTTAATCAATTTTAGTCAATCTGTCCAAGAAATGGGCATATTTATCAGTCAAAATGACTGAAATATTTACACATTTTATAAATTGTATGAGAGAATCACATTTTACAAATTGATTGTAATATATACACACTTACAAAGGAAAAGACTTGTGAAAACAACGTCTATCGCTCATCGAAGAATTTCCCAACCAAGACGTAGAGGAACAAGAATGAATCTGTGCAATGCTACAGCAAATGAAGGAAAACAAAATGCAAATATCATAATTACAACCTACCAAATTTATGTGTATAATTTGAGGCAACTTCCTTGTTCGACGAATGTATCCGTGAATATCCACACAAAGGAATAATACCCCACACGTCTGCAGCTGTACAAAGAAACTTATTCGATGTCACGTGTCTCTGTGACAATAAAATATTTTAAAATATATACATTATTTTATACGGGGTATTATAACCCGTGTTCGTTTCTCAACTGATCACTTGGATTGTTTCAAGTGTTTCACATTCCAAAGGTCGACTGTGAAAATCCACGTGACAACTATTTTCATAACGTCCTCCGTTCCTAAAGAAATCCGTTGAGTTAGATAACAATGAGCAGTCAATCAACGTATTATCGGTTAACCCTTTGAACAAAGTATGTTGTTTTTACATCGGCACTTCACGCCATGATATGAGTGTATTCCCTTTGTTTTAGTAAACCTAGACATGTAAACACTCACTTTTGACATATCCACTGCAAGATAACAGTGATTAATCAGTCAACATATTTTCTCTTAATCCTTTGATGACTAGGAACGATCCGTTGATTTACAAAAAAGTAAATCAACTGATCATTCATCTCTTGCTGGGCTGCCACGTGTATATTACATAACACACATTTCACCTCACTTCAAACCTGGATTTAGATTGAATAATTACACTAGACACAATAAATGCCAAATGGCTACCACTAATTATACCTGTAATAAATTCGTTAACTGAGCATCAAGTGAATGACGACAAATACACAAGTGCAGGGTTATACCAGAAAACGTGGATGACAACAAGGGAGTAGTAATCGTATTATCGACGCAATCCGAAATCCGAAATCCGAAAATGCTGTCACTGCATGGATATTTTTTGATTATTATTAAACTTTAACAATCAGGGGTATTTCCAAATTACGACACCCGATGAGCTCCGCCGTTCTTTTTGTCTGTTTGTTTAGGCTGAAGAAATTAATTAACATGCGCCCTTTGTCGAAATCTGTATAGATCCCGGTTAAACAATCAGTGTTCAAAAATGAGTAAAACAAATATTGCCTCCAAGTTTATTTAGCTGTCCTTGCAGACGGTAGCCCAGTCTCTTGTCGCGCTCAGTTGCGTTGCGTATCATTCGGGTACTCACGGGGAAAAAACAATAACAAAGGCAACAACCAGTCCCGGGGAATTGCTTTAGATCAGTGCCCCTTTAAGTGGGATAAAACGGACTGGCGGAATCGAGAGTCCGTGTAATGTGTCTGATGGGGATACCAATGTGAAACTGCGGCATGGTGCCCTGGACTGGTACCGGCTTTAGTCTGGGCTAGTACAAACCGCCACATACACACACGTGCAAGGACGTCGCTGTATGGGTGAATAAATAGGTGTTATATCACATATAACATTAGATTCATGCGCCTACCAAAGGTGAGCTGTTGATAACCCTGGGCATTCCGGGTTAGAATATAGACCTCTCGACTAAACTGATCAGGGGTAGGTGACTTGGTTGATGGTCCAGATTGGATTATATACAGATTTAACCCCCCCCCCCCCCCCACACACACACAAAAAAAAAAAGCACACATTTTCTCAATCACGGTGACAGCCGCCCTTTTGAGATATTTGATATGACGATCACCTCAGTTTCTAAAATGTGCTTCATTAAAATATCCACAGTTCAGTGCTTATACAGCTTACATATTTCCAGGTGAGCCTGCCCATCGCATCTGACCTCCCCAAACCAAATGACATTGTGTCATGTTCATTGTGATAATCCTCACTTGGCTAGATACTTCTATTGTGTGACTCCCTGTTGTCAGCGAATCAGGTTATTCTTGCTGAAGCTTTTAGGTTTGAAAATGCTTAGCGATAGACTGAACATTATTTAGATGGACTCATGAAACGTTGGCACAACGTTGATAGTTCAATGTCCATTTCCATTTCAGATACATTACATCACAACCAACATTTTCGTCTTTTTGTAACAACAACGGATTGGTACCGAAGTTGACTAAGCTGATTTGCGAAACGCGGCTTGAATAATATGCGTTGTATTTGTAATTTGAAACAGCATGGTACCAATGTCCCAATTCCGATTTTTGACAGCTATTCAATCGACCTTACAACGACTGTGGAAGAACCCTTCTGTTGTCTTCTGTTGTCACTTGGGAGTGGAGACAAGTTGGCTGACCGTAACTGTTATGACCAGCTTGTGCGAGTTCATAATGTTTAGGAATTTATTTGACATTTTGCAATATTGCCACTTTTGATATGGGTAACTCGGGAGCGATGACAGGTGTCTCCAAGTCCCTTCAAAGATTCAGGCACCACTATACACTTATCTGTTACAATGCTACATGAACACTCCACTTACAGGACACCTCATATAGATAGAAACTTATGTACATTAAAAAAGTTACAAGGCTGGTGATCTTCAACAATACCAAAACCTTCAATTATGCATGTTACATTCCATTTGAAGACGACAGAACTATCATGTCTTGTCTTGTCACCTGAAGTTATCTCTGTACCTTTCCCTGCTGCAGTCAGCACTGTCACTTTGTCGCTTCATCTACTTCGACATCAGGCACATAGTGATAACGCGTCAGATTCTGTGTTCACAGCGTCGACATCCTTGGCTCCATGTGAACGTCCTTTAGTGATTACCACAGTGTGTGGCTTCTGTCCGAGGTCACTTGCACACTGTCACCCACTCATTGTAAGTACATGTCTGGCACTCGACATAACAACACCAGTAGAATTTGCAGTTACACCTCTCAGATCGGCGGACTTTGAGGATGTTATAGCCTCGGCCACAGCACAATGTTCCACAGTTGTCTACACCGTCACTAGACTTGTTACACAAGCGACCGGTCGTGCCGGGGGAATCAAGACGGTTGTTAGGCTCACAGAAGCTTGGCGACCTTTGATAGTACAGTAGATCTGACTGGCGCGGGCGACGACCATTCTGCTTTATTAACCGCCCACTGGCGGCATTTCCGATGTGAATCTAAAAAATGTAAGCTATGATTAAATATGATGCAGTCATGCTAATCATTTCAATTATTGTTTGATAATGCGGTAACTGTTCTACACCTTTCTAAAACGTTCAACGACATACTGTAATGTCGTTGCAACATCTGTGCATTTGCGCACGAGATTCGACTGCTATAAAAATCATCACGGGTCAACTCCCGGCTATATTGGAGTTTACAAATATACAGATTTCAAGTACCAGATAAACTGCCTGTTACTCGAAATGATCGTGGCCCGTCAGATATTGTACCTCCTATAGATGCTTATACATGCTTAGAGTGAATATGGGTCTGACGGCCAGAACACGTTTATAATGTCTTGTTTGTGAGTGTCATCTTTGTCACTCATACTTCATATCAATATACAGTCCTCTGCCACATTGCGTATACACATGCGTAGGACATAAATGCGCCTGTACCTGTACCTTGGTGGCGGCCTGGAACTTCCGTTTCAGTAGATCCCCCACTTCCCTGAAGTTAGGCGCGGCTTTCCAGCACGTCTTCAGCTCACAGCTGCCGGACATTCCGTGACACTTGCACTGCTTCTGGACGTTATGGATGACAGCCTGAAGAACACACTAGCTTATTACATACGTTACGTGTAAACGCCCGAGGAACACACTAGCTTATTACATACGTTACGGATGACAGCCTGAAGAACACACTAGCTTATTAAATACGTTACGGATGACAGCCCGAAGAACACACTAGCTTATTACATACGTTACGGATGACAGCCTGAAGAACACACTAGCTTATTACATACGTAACGGATGACAGCCTAAAGAACACACTAGCTTATTACATACGTTACGGATGACAGCCTGAAGAACACACCAGCTCTTTACATACGTTACGGATGACAGCCTAAAGAACACACTAGCTTATTACATTCCGTGACACTTGCACTGCTTCTGAACGTTATGGATGACAGTTTGAATAACACATTAGCTTATTACATACGTTACGTGTAAACGCTTGAAGAACACACTAGCTTATTACATACGTTACGGATGACAGCCTGAAGAACACACTAGCTTATTACATACGTTACGGATGACAGCCTGAAGAACACACTAGCTTATTACATACGTTACGGTGAACGCCTGAAGGACACACAAGCTTATTACATACGTTACGGTGAACGCCTGAAGAACACACTAGCTTATTACATACGTTACGGTGAACGCCTGAAGGACACACAAGCTCTTCACATACGTTACGGTGAACGCCTGAAGAACACACTAGCTTATTACATACGTTACGGATGACAGCCTGAAGAACACACAAGCTTATTACATAGGTTACGGATGACAGCCTAAAGAACACACTAGCTTATTACATACGTTACGGGTGACAGCCTGAAGAACACACTAGCTTATTACATACGTTACGGATGACAGCCTGAAGAACACACTAGCTTATTACATACGTTACGATGAACGTCTGAAGAACACACTAGCTTATTACATACGTTACGGTGAACGCCTGAAGAACACACTAGCTTATTACATATGTTACGGATGACAGCCTGAAGAACACACTAGCTTATTACATACGTTACGTGTAAACGCCCGAGGAACACACTAGCTTATTACATACGTTACGGATGACAGCCTGAAGAACACACTAGCTTATTAAATACGTTACGGATGACAGCCCGAAGAACACACTAGCTTATTACATACGTTACGGATGACAGCCTGAAGAACACACTAGCTTATTACATACGTAACGGATGACAGCCTAAAGAACACACTAGCTTATTACATACGTTACGGATGACAGCCTGAAGAACACACCAGCTCTTTACATACGTTACGGATGACAGCCTAAAGAACACACTAGCTTATTACATTCCGTGACACTTGCACTGCTTCTGAACGTTATGGATGACAGTTTGAATAACACATTAGCTTATTACATACGTTACGTGTAAACGCTTGAAGAACACACTAGCTTATTACATACGTTACGGATGACAGCCTGAAGAACACACTAGCTTATTACATACGTTACGGATGACAGCCTGAAGAACACACTAGCTTATTACATACGTTACGGTGAACGCCTGAAGGACACACAAGCTTATTACATACGTTACGGTGAACGCCTGAAGAACACACTAGCTTATTACATACGTTACGGTGAACGCCTGAAGGACACACAAGCTCTTCACATACGTTACGGTGAACGCCTGAAGAACACACTAGCTTATTACATACGTTACGGATGACAGCCTGAAGAACACACAAGCTTATTACATAGGTTACGGATGACAGCCTAAAGAACACACTAGCTTATTACATACGTTACGGGTGACAGCCTGAAGAACACACTAGCTTATTACATACGTTACGGATGACAGCCTGAAGAACACACTAGCTTATTACATACGTTACGGATGACAGCCTTAAGAACACACAAGCTTATTACATACGTTACGGATGACAGCCTAAAGAACACACTAGCTTATTACATACGTTACGGTGAACGCCTGAAGAACACACAAGCTTATTACATACGTTACGTGTAAACGCCTGAAGAACACACCAGCTCTTTACATACGTTACGGATGACAGCCTAAAGAACACACTAGCTTATTACATACGTTACGGTGAACGCCTGAAGAACACACAAGCTTATTACATACGTTACGGATGACAGCCTGAAGAACACACTAGCTTATTGCATACGTTACGGATGACAGCCTGAAGAACACACAAGCTTATTACATACGTTACGGATGACAGCCTAAAGAACACACTAGCTTATTACATACGTTACGGTGAACGCCTGAAGAACACACCAGCTCTTCACATACGTTACGGTGAACGCCTGAAGAACACACTAGCTTATTACATACGTTACGGATGACAGCCTGAAGAACACACTAGCTTATTACATACGTTACGGGTGACAGCCTGAAGAACACACTAGCTTATTACATACGTTACGGATGACAGCCTGAAGAACACACTAGCTTATAACATACGTTACGGTGAACGCCTGAAAAACACACCAGCTCTTTACATACGTTACGAAGAACGCCTGAAGAAGACACCAGCTTATTACATACGTTACGGTGAACGCCTGAAGAACACACCAGCTCTTTACATACGTTACGGATGACAGCCTAAAGAACACACTAGCTTATTACATACGTTACGGTGAACGCCTGAAGAACACACCAGCTCTTTACATACGTTACGGTGAACGCCTGAAGAACACACTAGCTTATTACATACGTTACGGATGACAGCCTGAAGAACACACTAGCTTATTACATACGTTACGGATGACAGCCTGAAGAACACACAAGCTTATTACATACGTTACGGATGACAGCCTAAAGAACACACTAGCTTATTACATACGTTACGGTGAACGCCTGAAGAACACACTAGCTTATTACATACGTTACGGTGAACGCCTGAAGAACACACCAGCTCTTTACATACGTTACGGTGAACGCCTGAAGAACACACTAGCTTATTACATACGTTACGGATGACAGCTTGAAGAACACACAAGCTTATTACATACGTTACGGATGACAGCCTAAAGAACACACTAGCTTATTACATACGTTATGGTGAACGCCTGAAGAACACACTAGCTTATTACATACGTTACGGATGACAGCCTGAAGAACACACAAGCTTATTACATACGTTACGGATGACAGCCTGAAGAACACACAAGCTTATTACATACGTTACGGTGAACGCCTGAAGAACACACTAGCTTATTACATACGTTACGGTGAACGCCTGAAGAACACACCAGCTGTTAACATACGTTACGGTGAACGCCTGAAGAACACACCAGCTCTTTACATACGTTACGGATGACAGCCTAAAGAACACACTAGCTTATTACATAAGTTACGGTGAACGCCTGAAGAACACACAAGCTTATTACATAGGTTACGGATGACAGCCTAAAGAACACACTAGCTTATTACATACGTTACGATGAACGCCTGAAGAACACACCATTTCTTTACATACGTTACGGATGACAGCCTAAAGAACACACTAGCTTATTACATACGTTACGGTGAACGCCTGAAGAACACACCAGCTCTTTACATACGTTACGGGTGAACGCCCGAAGAACACACTAGCTTATTACATATACGTTACGGGTGACAGCCTATAGGACTCACCAGCGCTTTACATACGTTATAGGCGAACGCCTGAAGAACACACTAGATCATCTGACACGTAACTTATTGTTACAACCCTCAGGACATGGGTGACATTCTGCAGAACACACTGCAGTAGAACATGTGTCGTTACTATTGTTTACACTTACTTAAGCTTTAGGCTATAGCTCTATCAGTCTTCTGATAGGTCTATATCATGATATTGTTTGATGAACTAGTAGGGAGTTTCTTACCAATCTTCCAGCGCGGTTGTTGTGGAGGTTTATACGGGAGTGAATGTCCCGAGCCATCTCTTTGGAATCCATGAATCGTTTAGCGTACTGCTCTCCGAAGTCAACATTGTGGCTGCATCCTCCCCACTCGAAGTCTCTGTTAACCCCGTACACGCTCATGTCGCAGCCGCACGACTTCAGCTTGCCCAGACTACAGGCCTTCGACACTTGATGTGTGACGCCTGCCGCAGATATAGCATATGCGAACGCTGTCTCCTTGAAACCTGAAAATATACACATGTGCGTGTTGCACTGGGCAAACTGCTGGACTGAGACAATCATTTAACGAAAGGACTGCTGAATAGTCTAATATGTTTTGCCCGTGTTAACCTTGCACGTGTCAAACGCCTTAAAGAACTAATGATTCTCAATTTATTTGTATTTCAGTTCATCACAATTACTTTTATTTATAGATCCATACAGGCTAGTAACCAAGATATTCTGGGATGTTTTTTCCAAATTTTTGGCCGCAAAAAGTTAAATTAAAACATTCACTACATCTAAAAGGAAGCAGATTCGAAATATTCAGTCTTTGACTTGAGTAAATTAAACACGCACTAGAAACATATGTCAACACGCTCCACGCCACCCACTGCCGCCGCCACCACTGCTGCACCTCCTAAAGGACTTTCAAAGAAAATGTGTTTATAATGAAAACACAGGAGAGAACCAGCCACAAACACACGGGACTCGTTACTTCAGCACAAGCCGCAAAAAATCTCAGCAATTCTGGATCTGGTGTGATTGCGGGGCCTTTATCCAAAGTAATCCCATTTCCGACATACAGAGAAGAGACTGTTCTCTGGTTGGGGTCGGTTTGTTAGTGGCACACACACCCAGCAAAGTCTTCAAGATGTTCCTTAACTTGATACAACAACCTGCACCAGTAATTAGCCCAGATCGCCACAGGAAAGAAGTATTTCCAGAGCAATCGAGAACAGATGATAGGGGAACGATAAGGTCATTCCGCTTCTTGTTTCCTTTTCGCAATTTAGGAGTAACTGATACATCATCATAGAAATCAACTGTTATCCTGCCCTGCTCATGAGGTATCTAACACATCAGTATAAAAACAAGCAAGTCAGTACATCTCCCTCACTCCAACCTTTGCTGAGCTCTCGAGACTCGCCACCTTGTCATCCTCACAGTTAAGTGTGAGGTATGTTTGGCTTGCTCTGGGCTGCCAGTGTACTTCCCTCTGGGATGTTTTCATGATACATGTGTTGAAACATTTGGAGATGTTTAATATTCACACAACCTCGTACAGCCTGAGGCTGTGTGAGATTAAAGGAGTCAAATTATTGTAGAGCACATCATTAGATGTGTTGGAACTACATCAAATACCAACAAGTAAGTTACGTACACACAAAGCACTCATCCCTAATTACTACAACCGTGACATCACCCCAGCTCGGCCGTGTTGAGGACCTGGTCTGGCAAGGTTGGGTGCCGACCACAACATCTCCAGCTAACTGCCCCCAGGTTCCCTACCCTCTATGTAGCCCTTGTTTCAGCTGCCTTGCCTAGCACGTATAACTGTAACACCCGACATTTTCACATGACCTTCTGTAAACGGATTTAACATGACATGCATACTATGGACATGTTTCTATAGATACGGGTGCAGATGAACATAAACTAATCCAGGGATGCTAGATGTAATTACCTCTTTTCAAAAGGGGGCTGGCATGAGGGTTTTTATTTTTCCTCTCGAGGCTGGAGCAGTTCCAGCGATGACTACGCAGCTGGTGCTGACACTCGTGTATCCCGATCTGCACCCCCTGTATAGCGGACGCTGTAACATCCGGGTACTTACGACACAAATCGTATTGAGTTTGGGACAGCTCGGGGTATGTCTTGCACACGGTGTTTGGGTCCAAGTGTGGCTCTTTCTTGATGTTCAGGCGCAAGATGTCATTCTTCAGGCATCTGAATCATGCATCATTGAAATTTGAACTACAAGTGAATTGATGTATATGACATGAATATTATTGCCGTTTGTATTAGAAAAATAGAAATAAAATACGTATTACTGTATTTTCAGAATATGTCATATATTCACACAGCGAAAACCCACCTCACCACCGTGTATCAAAAGTACGCATTCCTGGCCTACATCTCAATGGAGACCGTCATTCATCATTTCCAAGAGTCGACGTCAACATGCTGTAATAAGCATAGTTTTGTACTGCCTGTGCCAGATCACTAACTGCTACATTAGAAAGGCACCCTACAACATTGGAATCTGACAATCGTGGGTATTTCTATTATTTCTGAATCAAATCTTTTTAACAACATTGGCTAATACCTAGGGAATGTGCTCAAAATTGTAGCATTCCGGTTGAGGAACACGGAACTAACGTGTCATGAGCTTGAAGAAGGTTCCTTGGTGTAATCTACGGATCATTTTTCAAAACATGATGGAGGAATGAAGACCGACAGTTTTTATTCATTAACAGATTTTACTGTCAAGAATTGTGTGCTGAATGAGTATAGTAAGAAGGTAGATCTATGTTACGCTCGTAGTTTATAGATATAAATGAACAAAATACCAAAGCAAATATTCCAATTTGACCTGATGTTTCGGAAGGTGTGCACGGAAAATGTTTATTCATATAATGGCTAGTGTTATCGATACAATAAACCAATCCGATAAACTTGGCATCACGATCCGATAAGGAACATTTGCGTATGTTCCGGTCCGATGCCATTGGCTCCAAAAGCCTATGCATACAATTCCCGAAAAGTTTGTATAGATTTTTACAGCTGTGTGATCGCTCATGTAACATGGCTGCACATCATTTAGGGCGGTTCATTCATGTGATTGTATTCCTCCGCGATTTCAAAAGTTAAATTAATGTATGAAAATACTAGTATGTCTTAAACTTATAAGATATGATGAAGAGAATATCACTCTGGTGTGTTTCCGTATAGTAAATTTGTCTGCCGCTGGTGACATATGATGAAGAGAATATCACTCTGGTGTGTTTCCGTATAGTAAATTTGTCTGCCGCTGGTGACATATGATGAAGAGAATATCACTCTGGTGTGTTTCCGTATAGTAAATTTGTCTGCTGCTGATGACATTATATGATGAAGAGAATATTTCTCTAGTGTGTTTCCGTGTAGTAAATTGTCTGCTGCTGGTGACATTATATGATGAAGAGAATATTTCTCTAATGTGTTTCCGTATAGTAAATTTGTCTGCTGCTGCTGACATTATATGATGAAGAGAATATCACTCTAGTGTTTTTCCGTGTAGTAAATTGTCTGCTGCTGGTGACATAATATTATGAAGAGAATATTCCTCTCGTGTTTGCCTTAGATATAATTTAATTGGGCCACCCGTGCCCACATTGTGTAAGCTGTTTGTATTGTATGGCGGTCTTTCTGTAGCTATCAGTAATTCATAACAGTTCAAGAGGAAGTGCATGTCCATTTAGTATTACCTCAATTACCTCTCTGTAATAAAACGGTGGATGTTCCATTAGATAAGAAATATCTTGTTAACCTAAACAAATATAGTTGTATTTGTTAAATTGTTAAATGTCTCGAAGCCAAAACTCTCGTTCTAGTTGTCGATTACTTTTATTAATTTCCGTTTGCTATCCTATTTTAATCCGACCACACTCCTTGACTATGTATGCATTCGATAAGACGTCTTAGAAATGGCGCCATGCAGTCATCTTAACTGTAAGCTTCAATTATCAAAAATGTTACATGAAAGGGTATCTACCGCACGTTCAAGCAAGTCGAAGCAGAGAACTGAGAAATCCGCTCACTTATTACTTGAAGAAGAACGATTATTCAAGAACCACACACTATCAGGTCTAATTGGCTTGATCTGATGATGTGGTGTTCCTAGCAGTGTAATGCCATAATCAAAGGCGAACTAGCACATCAGGCCATCGCATAGGTACAAGACAGAAACATCAAAAAGTAAAACAAGGAGGTTAATTGTCTGAATGATTGTCCGACAGAATGTGTAATTAGCCACCATAATGTAAGCATCTCCGCCAAATAGTCTGTTCATGATGTGCACTATGACTTGTCGCAGTCCAATGCGTCAAGCATACATAATCTGTTGTAAACATTCACAAAGTCAACAACAAGAGCATCTGTGATATGTGATACTCGAAATTACTTAAACGTTTTACATTAACACTTGGTCAGAGATATGGTATACACAGGTAGTAGTTCACATTACTTCTGGTAACTAACACCTGGTCAGAAATACGGTATACACAGGTAGTAGTTCACATTACTTCTGGTAACTAACACCTGGTCAGAGATACGGTATACACAGGTAGTAGTTCACATTACTTCTTGTACCTAACACTTGGTCAGAGATACGGTATACACAGGTAGTAGTTCACATTACTTCTGGTAACTAACACCTGGTCAGAAATACGGTATACACAGGTAGTAGTTCACATTACTTCTTGTACCTAACACTTGGTCAGAGATACGGTATACACAGGTAGTAGTTCACATTACTTCTGGTAACTAACACCTGGTCAGAGATACGGTATACACAGGTAGTAGTTCACATTACTTCTTGTACCTAACACTTGGTCAGAGATACGGTATACACAGGTAGTAGTTCACATTACTTCTGGTAACTAACACCTGGTCAGAGATACGGTATACACAGGTAGTAGTTCACATTACTTCTGGTAACTAACACCTGGTCAGAAATACGGTATACACAGGTAGTAGTTCACATTACTTCTTGTACCTAACACTTGGTCAGAGATACGGTATACACAGGTAGTAGTTCACATTACTTCTGGTAACTAACACCTGGTCAGAGATACGGTATACACAGGTAGTAGTTCACATTACTTCTGGTAACTAACACCTGGTCAGAAATACGGTATACACAGGTAGTAGTTCACATTACTTCTTGTACCTAACACTTGGTCAGAGATACGGTATACACAGGTAGTAGTTCACATTACTTCTGGTAACTAACACTTGGTCAGAGATACGGTATACACTGGCAGTAGTTCACTTTACTTCTGGTAACTAACACCTGGTCAGAGATACGATATACACTGGCAGTAGTTCACATTACTTTAAGTAACTAACACCTGGTCAGAGATACGGTTTACACGAGCTGGAGTTCACATTACTTCTGGTAACTAACAGCGGGTCAGAGATACGGTACACACGAGCAGGAGGTCACATTTCTCATAAACAAACACCAGGACAGAGATACGGTATATACTATCAGGATTTCAAATTATTTCTAATAAGTAAAACCTGACAGAGAAATACTGACACATACTCCCAGATATGCATCGACAATACACCCCAGTGTCTGTTGTACACTGAGACATACTCCAAGATATGGATCGACAGTACACTCTAGTGTCTGTTGTACACTGACACATACTTCCAGATATGCATCGACAATACACACCAGTGTCTGTTGTACACTGACACATACTCCCAGATATGCACCGACAATACACTCCAGTGTCTGTTGTACACAGGCACATAATCCAAGATATGCATCGACAATACACCAAAGTGTCTGTTGTACACTGACAAATACTCCCAGATATGCACCGACAATACACCCCAGTGTTTGTTGTACACTGACACATAATCCCAGATATGCACTGACAATACACACCAGTGTCTGTTGTACACTGACACATACTCCCAGATATGCACCGACAATACACCCCAGTGTCTGTTGTACACAGGCACATACTCCCAGATATGCACCGAAAATACACACCAGTGTCTGTTGTACACTGACAAATACTTCCAGATATGAATCTACAAAACACCCCAGTGTCTGTTGTACACTGACACATACTCCAAGATATGCACCGACAATACATCCCAGTGTCTGTTGTACACAGGCACATACTCCCAGATATGCATCGACAATACACCCCAGTGTCTGTTGTACACAGGCACATACTCCAAGATATGCATCGACAATACACCAAAGTGTCTGTTGTACACTGACACATACTCCCAGATATGCACCGAAAATACACCCCAGTGTATGTTGTACACTGACACATACTCCCAGAGGTGTATCGAAAATCAACTGCAGTGTCTGATGTACACTGACAAATACTCCCAGATATGCATCGACAATACACCGAAGTGTCTGTTGTACACTGACACATACTCCAAGATAAGCATCGACAAAACACCGAAGTGTCTGCTGTACACTGACACATACTCCCAGATATGCACCGACAATACACACCAGTGTCTGTTGTACACTGACACATACTCCCAGATATGCATCGACAATACACACCAGTGTCTGTTGTGCACTGACACATACTCCAAGATATGCATGAACAATTCACCCTAGTGTCTGTTTTACACTGACAAATACTCCCAGATATGCATCGACAATACACACCAGTGTCTGTTGTACACTGACACATACTCCCAGATATGCATCGACAATACACACCAGTGTCTGTTGTGCACTGACACATACTCCAAGATATGCATGAACAATTCACCCTAGTGTCTGTTTTACACTGACAAATACTCCCAGATATGCATCGACAATACACACCAGTGTCTGTTGTACACTGACACATACTCCCAGATATGCATCGACAATACACCCCAGTGTCTGTTGTGCACTGACACATACTCCTAGATATGCATGAACAATTCACCCTAGTGTCTGTTTTACACTGACAAATACTCCCAGATATGCATGAACAATACACACCAGTGTCTGTTTTACACTGACAAATACTCCCAGATATGCATGAACAATACACACCAGTGTCTGTTTTACACTGACAAATACTCCCAGATTTGCATGAACAATACACACCAGTGTCTGTTTTACACTGACAAATACTCCCAGATATGCATCGACAATACACCCCAGTGTCTGTTGTACACTGACACATACTCCCAGATATGCACCAACA